AGAGAAAAAGAAAAAAAAGGGCTGCTGAGGACAGGGAGACACATTCTCCCTGACTCTGATGGGGACATTGAAAGATGGTAGACTTGATGGAGCAGACAGGTAAGTGTATTCCTTCTAGATGGTTTATAAGTGCAGTTGAGGACAGTTCAAAACTGATGGAAGCAGATAGGTAAGAAAATAATTTAACCTTATACAAAAATGTGATTGTCAAGGAGTTTAGGGTCTCTCAGATAGAAGGTAAAAGATGAAAATAATAGGGAAGCTGAATATTGTACTCAGCTCAGGGGCCAATTAAAGGTTTGACCTACAGAACTTACATTAGAAAAAATTAGTTCAGTAAAGAACAGCAGAGAGAATGATCAAGGAGAAAATAGTGACAAAATACTTGAGAAATATTTTCTTACCTTAAAAAAATTTTTTGTTGTTCTGGGTTAGCTTCCTGAAAAGAAACTGGAACCTCACTGGCCATTTGCTTTTCAGAACTAGAAATAAGCAAACCAGTTCTAAGAGGAAAAACATACCATGATTCTTTAATGAATGGCTCTGGAAAAGGAAAGAATAAAAGTTGACAGTTGTCTGGGAAAAATGTACGATTAATAAAGAGTGAAAATTATTAAAGATAGCATGCTTAAGTTGTAACACGAAAGGAAATCATAGGCTGAGCATGGTGGCTCATGCCTGTAATCCCAGTACTTTAGGGAGGCCAAGATGGGAGGATCGTTTGATGTCAGGAGTGAGACCAGCCTGGGCAACATAGCAAGACCCCATCTCTACCAAAAAACAAAATTAGCTGGGTGTGGTGGTGTGTGCCTGTAGTCTCAGCTACTCAGGAGGTTGAGGCAGGAGGATTGCCCTGGGCAACAGAGTGAAACCCTGTCTCCAAGAAAAAAAAACCCAGAAATGACAAATGATTACAGAAGGAAAAACAGCATAGAAAACAATGTTACTTTAACTGAAATCCAGACACATTTCCAGCTGGGGATGCAACCAACAGAAAGGAATTTCCAGGCATAAAACAGAAGGGACCATGTGCAAGTGGAAGACCCCACAAGATTCAGAGTTCCATTAAACAGAGTGAAGGCACTTCACAAGGATAAGGATTTAAATGATGGACCCAAAAGTCAAGTGGTTAAGAGAGCAATTTAAGACATGACTGCTTCCCCTAGACAGGGGCTGAGTGGGTAGAACACGAAAATATACACAGTGACTATTAACCACTGCTAGATACAGGCTGAACAGCCTCAAGAGACAAAAGACAGGTGGTGGGATTTGTTGTTAATCAAGAGACAGGAGAGTTCCAGAACTAGCGCGACTAGTGGAGATGCTGGGCCATCTTACCTGGGTAGTCACAGCCTTCAGCGCCCACACAGTCAATGAAGCCTGGTGCCCCATTTGATCTCAGCCTCGTCACTGCCCTGGAGAGACCCTGACACTGACTGCCTGTCCCCAACAGCTTGCCAAGTCCTTGCCGTTGACTTCATGCCCTGAGCAATTCTCTGGGCTCCCTACCCGACCCATTCAGGCCTCTGCTCAAATGTCACTCCCACAAATAGAGACTCCCTCACTATCCCTGCCAAAAATAGCTCCACCTCCACTCCAGCCCTTCTACCTGGCTCATAGTTTTCATGGTTCTTACCTTGCTGCCCAACCTCTCACTACACACTTATCGTTTGTCTCCTTCACTTAAAACACAAGCTTTAAGTGTTTTAGTCTTCACTGATCCCCAGCACCTAGAACAGGGCTTGGCACCCGACACGGGCTGAATAAGTTATCTGCTGAATGACTGAAAGAAAAAAAACCTCACCAAAACAATAATGACATATTGTCTTGGCATGCAACCTGGCAATCATTGAGCCTGGGTTTGGGCCCAGTTTTGTTAATAACTTGCTGTGTCACCTTGGGCAAATCACTTCACCTCTCTGGGCCCATACTGCCTCACTTCTGAAACAAGGAAGTTGATCAAGTAAGGGCTAAAGTTGCCTTCCAACTTTTCATAGTCTGCAAAACAAAGATCTGCTCTCCTCCTGAAGGCAACTTATTAGCCAAAGGTGGGCTTGGATTTACCTCAGATCAATGAGTTTTTAAAAATCTGAGTTGATTCTCTTCAAGAACTCTCTCCTTTAAGCAGAACAGAACTGGGTAAATGGCAAAAAGAAGCAGGGGTCCCACAGGAGCAGAGTTGCTGTGAGAAGAAACGACTCCACAGCCAGAAAGTTTAACAGGAAGAATGACAGTCACTCTCCCCCATTGTTTTTTGCACCAAGATGTCACAAGTCAGACTGAGGGGGAGGGATGGACTAGTGGAAGGAAGACAAGTCACAAGTGGACAGAGGGAAAGCAGGAGCTGCGAGGTCACCTCTTACTGAGCAATTGGTCCTAGAATCCAGACCCCTTGTTTTGCCTCTTCGCAGAAACTCAAATGACCAATTCCAGGCTCTGGGCCTCCTCACATGACCTCAAATGTCTAATTCCAGACTCTGGGTCTTGGCTTCCCACCTATGACACTGGGCATTACAGATGGCACGAAACCTTCCAGACACCCCGAGTACCAGACTTACCGGCCCAAGGAGGGGAACGCCCTCCTAGGTTTCCTGAGAGACCAGACTTCAGACTCCCGGGGATGCCTGGACTTTCACCTCAACTCTCCCATACCCCAAGTCACATTAGGTGTGGGCATTCGAGCCAATGCTCCTCAGCAACCGATCTGGGGGTGTCCCCACCGCCACCGTCAGGTGGGATCCTCCTAAAATCCTGACGATTTGGGGACTCTGTTGCTCCTGAGAAGAGACAACTCTCAGAGTACGGTGAGGTGGGGTTCTGGAGCCCTGTCTGTCACCAGAAACGGGAAATAAGGTGGAGGGCAAGGCCCTCCGGCACTCTGACAGGCTGGTGGCTTCGGGGTCCAGCGGAGGCGGACGAGGGTCCTACTGCTCTTACAGAAATCGCACCCCCAGGTTCCCGAGATGCGGCGCCGCCCGCCGGGTCGCGGCCCGTCAGCCCAAGCCTTGCTAGGAGCCCACGCCTCCTCCCTCGCGGCCCAGCCCGCGCTCACCGCCTTCTCCAGATGGCTGCGCGCCTGCTCGCTGTTCTTGGTGTGGTGGTAGAGCACAGAGCCCAGCTGCAGGTGCGTGCGGGCCTCGATGCGCTGAGGCGGCTTGAAGGGGAACACGGCCTGCAGGCAGTGCACACACAGACGGATCTTGGGCGGACTGGAAGTGCGGAAGTGCTCGGCGAAGCCCAGAAGAGCCAGGTACCACGACTCGGCCGCCTCGGCCTGCGCTGCCTGGGCCGCAGCCGCCTGGGCCGCTGCAGCCGCCTGAGCCGCCATTATGGCCTCCACAACAACAAGTAGCCACCACAGGGAGGCGGAAGCAAGCGCCCGGGGCGGGGCAGGGCGCGTCCCCAGCTCTCGCGAGAGCTGCTGCACAGAGCATCCTGGACCGTGTAGTTAGCATTTGGGGTGGCCGCCGCTCTGGGAAGATGTGAGGAAGGGCGACGCCCTTGGATCATTGGAACTGAGATTTAGACATCGCCGAATAGATTGAGGCTTGCGTTCCTGGAAGGACGAGCTTAGGCGTCCACAGAATTGCAGGGCGTGGTTGGCCAACACGGACTACATCTCCCATCGGGCCATGCGCACTATAACAGGCTCCCTTAGGTGGCGCCGGAGCATTGTGGGATTGAATGAGTCTCAAGATGGACAACCGAGATGTTGCAGGTAACAGCCACCGCCAACCCTCAAGCGCCCGCCTGGGTGTTTGGGGCTGCGTGTCGCCGCTTCGCCCGCCCGTCGGTCCTGCTCCGACCCGCGGATCCCTGGCCTTAGCCCCTGGGCAGCCCAAAGCGGCGGCTTCTGTACCTCCCCATCTCCCCAGAAGCTGGCCGCCCCCGCCTCATTTGCTAAGGACGCACCGTTTTCGTGAAAGTCGCCACCCGGCTCGGCCTTGCGCCCCCTTTCTGAAATGGCTGCCTTCAGGGCTGCTCCATGCTCCTCTCCCCAACACAGTGGCAACCTTGGGCTGTCCTGCACCCCTCTCTTTGTAGCAGGTGCAGTCTGGCCTGTGTCCCGCTTTCTGGAAAGCTGCTTTTCCGAAGTGCTCTGAGGCTCTCTTTATACACTTTCCCGCGTCTTTTACCCCCCTTTCCCACAAGCATTGCACTTCCCATTCCCCCAGAATAGGATGCATTCATCCATTCATCAGATACTTAGGATGTGCTCACTGTGTGCCAGGCACCCTGCTGGGCTCAGGGGATGCAGCAGTGACCAAAACTGGGCCCTGCCTTCCTGAAGGTTAATTTTTGCGGGGATGTCGGTGCACCAAAGAGCAAATATTTACAAAGTGTGAGTCGTGATGATGTGAGGCAGTGGGTGGAGACTGCAGATATTGGATGATCAGGGGAGATCTTTTCAAGCAGGGGACATTTGAAATGAGAAGATGCCAGCTGTGGGAAGGCCTGAAGGGCAGAGCCTTTCACATAGAGTGTGGACAGCAAGTGCAAGGGCCCTGGGTTGGGATAGGCTTGTCCTTTCAAAGAATGCCAAGAGTGAAGCAGACGTGGGAGGGGAGCCATCTCTGACAGGCCCTTGAAAAATCAACTTTCAGAATTTGGATTTTTTTCTGAATTTCATGGGGAACCTGTGAGTTCTCCATCTCGAATGCTACCACCCTAGTCTGAAGAAGACATCATTGTTGCTTGGAGCCAGCGAGCCTCCTTGGTCTCCTTGATGCCTGTGTACTCTCTGGGCAGAATGATCACCTGGTAGCCAGTATGATCTTAAAAAGACCCACTGGATCTTGTCATTCCACCGTTTAATATTCCCCAATCAGTTGCCAAAGCCCTTAAAGTAAAACCTAGACTGCCTCACCTCTGCTCCACCTCTGAGTGGAGCAGTCCACTCAGGCCATGCTGTGCCCTTGCTAATCCTTAGACGTACCGGCCTTCTTCCTGCCTTGGCCTTTGTGTCTGCTCCTTCCTATGCCAAGATCATTCCCCATTTGGTTTATTCATGATGCTGGCTGCTTATCCTCTGGTTCCAGCTTAAATGTCCCCTCTTGTGTTCATTTTCTGGCTGCCCTACCGGTATTGGCACTCTAATTTATTACTCTTTCTGACCCTTTTTGATTTCTAGCAGAGCTTTTGTCACATTTTGCAGTTATTTTTTTGTTACGGGTCTACTGTCTCCCAGCCAGAGGTGAGTCCCATTTGGGCAGAGGCCTGGACTCTCTTATTTAGCACCTAGTACATCTCCTAGGCCATAGCAGGCATTCTGTGTTTTCTGAATAAATAACAAAATGGACATATGAATCAATCTGAATGTCGGTTGCTCTCTGGCTTGCCACATCCTCTTGGGGTGTTTGTGGAGTAAAGATGATTTCTTTTTTTCTTTTAGAGCTTCTCCCAGCAGTAGAAGGGGACCGGAGTGGGTTGCCCAAAAGATGATTTCTGATGTGCTTCTTTTCCCTTCCCAGGGAAGGCTAACCGGTGGTTTGGGGTTGCTCCCCCCAAATCTGGAAAAATGAACATGAACATCCTTCACCAGGAAGAACTCATAGCTCAGAAGAAACGGGAAATTGAAGCCAAAATGGAGCAGAAAGCCAAGCAGAATCAGGTGGCCAGCCCTCAGCCCCCGCATCCTGGCAAGTAAGTGCCTCCTGGGGCCTGGGTTGGGGTATTAGCAGGTCACCAGCAGAGAGTTTTGCTTGTGAGAGCAGTTGGTGTGTGCTTGTTCCCGGCCACAGCCTAATGATCCAGGGCATGACAAAGGTGCCCTCAGGAGGCTCAGTGTGGCAGGAGAGAAATGAGGGGTGTGTGGGAGCCAAGAGGACGGCCTGCCAACTTGTTCACTCGGCAGCTATTTACTGCCAGCCAGCTGTGGGGCAGGGGTAGAAGTATAGCAGAGTAAAAACCCAGATTCTGTCTCTGCCCTTATGAGGCTCACAGTCTACTAGCAAAGGGGTGCCACTCCCACCCCAGCACTGCTGGAGGATAACATGAGGCAGTATGTTCCCAGGCACAGTGGCCACCATAAGGTCACAGAGAGGCTTTGCATCCTGAAGCCCAGGTAGAGCTGGCCTATTGAGGAAGCAGGGACAGGCCTGCCTGACAGAGGGCAGGAAGAGAGAGCCCCTGTGTGTTGGGGCAGCCTGAGCCGCTGTTACAAAGGGGCTGTCCTGAAGCGAGACAGGAGGTAGCTCAGGCAGGGTTTCCACTTGCCAGTCCTGAGAAATACTGACGGCAGCAAAGATTTGAGCAGAGGGTGGTAGCATGACTGGGGTAACAAGATCCGAGTATTTTAGGCAGGAAGTTGACAGTCAGAGAGGCAGACTTCCTCTGGGGTCTCAAGTATGAACATATTAATGGTCTCCAAAGCTCTGTCGCAGCTCCTGCGTTTTCTAAGAGTCTGTGGCTTCTCCTTGAGGGCAGGACTTAGCCCTTATTCCTGATGAATTCAGGGCCCGGCACAGGGCGTGACACCTCCAAGGTGCTTAGGAATGTGGGGCCTGGGTGTTGAGTGTCTGCTCATGGGCTTGTGAGAGGACTTGCAGAGAACCTTCAAGTCACCTGAAGACAATCATTTGGCTGTCTTCCCTTCCCATATCTTAGCCTTGTTTCATGACGTTCTGATGAATTTTATATCCTGCTTTTTTTTTTTTTTAAATATAATAAAGAGGAGGTCTCACTCTTGCTCAGGCTGGTCTCGAACTCCTGAGCTCAAGTGATCCTCTCTCCTTGGGCTCCCAGAATGCTAGGATTACAAGTGTGAGCCACTGCACCTGGCCCATATCCTGCTTTTAACCCCACTTTTTAAAAAATTGTTTAAAAAAAAAATTGTGGTAAAAACATGTAACATAAAATTTACCATCTTAACCATTTTTAAGTTTACAGTTCAGTGGTAGTAAATGCATTTGTAATGTGCAGCCATCACCACCATCCATTTCCAGAACTCTTTTTCATCTTGTAAAACTGAAACTCTGTACCCATTAAACACTAACTTGCCATTCCCCTCTCCCCCCACTCCCTGGCACACACCATTCTACTTTCTGTCTCTAATTTTGACAACTCATAAGTGGAATCCTACAGTATTTGTCTTTCTGTGACTGGCTTATTTTACTTAGCTAATATCCTGAAGGTTCATCCATGTTGAAACATGTATCAGAAATTCTTTGGTGTTTAAAGTTGAGTAACATTCCATTGGCTGGATAGACCATATTTTGCTTATCCATTCATCTGTGGGTGGACACTGGTTGCTGCCATGTTTTAGCTATTGTCAATAATGCTACTGCCCACCCCACTATTTATTTATTTGTTTATTTATTTATTTATGAATGAATGAATGAATAAATGAGATGGGGGTCTCTGTAACCCAGGCTGCAGTGCAGTGGCTTGATCATAGCTCACTGCAACCTCAAACTCCTAGGCTCAAGTGATTCCTCTGCCTTAGGCTTCCAAGTAGCTAGGACTACAGGCACGTGCCATGACACCCAGCTAGTTTTTTCTTATTTTTTGTAGAGTTGGGGTCTTGCTATATTGCCCAGGCTGGCCCCCAGCTCCTGGCCTCAATAATCCTCCCACCTCATCCTTCCAAAGTGCTGGGATTACAGGCAAAAGCCACTGCAACTGGCCTTGTTACCAGTGGTTTTCTCAAGTGGGGGTCATTTGTTGCCTCTCTGTAGCCTGACTGTGTTTTCCTGTCTTTCCTTGTCCCTACCTCCTTCCTGTCCCTCCTGAGGAAGGTGCACATGATGTTGAGGACAGGCCCCAGGCCGGGGACTGAGGGGTCCCCAGACGGCCCTGCTTTTTAACATCAAGTCTGTTTTATCAGCAGAATCTTCTTTTTTGTTTAAAATAACTTATACTGCTTTTTTTTTTTTTAAATATAATAAAGAGG